CTACTACTACTCTACTCTCTCTCTCTCTCTCTCTCTCTCTCTCTCTCTCTCTCTCTCTCTCTCTCTCTCTCTCTCTCTCTCTCTCTCTCTCTCTCTCTCTCTCTCTCTCTCTCTCTCTCTCTCTCTCTCTCTCTCTCTCTCTCTCTCTCTCTCTCTCTCTCTCTCTCTCTCTCTCTCTCTCTCTCCCTCTCTCTCTCTCCCTCTCTCTTTCTCTCTCTCTGAAGGAGACAGAGAGAACCGTGACAGTGCTGCGAAAAGCAACGCACGTGACGACAAGACAACTGGTGCAGGCACTGTACGACATGGGACAGAGAGATGCTTTACAGTTGTTGGTTGACTTTTATTCTTCAACAACATGTAAGTTTCAGACACATATATTAATATTCATATTTATTCTAGAAGTAGCCAAACTCCTGAATGCCATCCCTATGTACAGACACACTTGTACCTCAATTTTATTTGTCAATGTTCATAATTCCATATAAAAGTGCACAAGGACTTACAAATGTTAGTTATGGTATGACATTGTGACTGTCACAACAATTATGAGTATCGGAACTAAATTTGGTTTATATAATTGCACTGTATCACATACATGGCACAGAAAAAGTAAAGAAGTTGTTTTATTTTTAATTTACGTATTTGCCTTTAGGTGAAGATCGTGAAGAGGATCCAAGGGGCCAGCCATTGGTAATGCAAATAAATGGTTTCATTTGCATATCTTGAAACAGTTACTTTTCTGACATAATGGTAGTCTTTTTATGTTATCCATATGCCCTGCTATAAGCAAACATTAAATGTATTTTAAAGCAGTCAGTGACCAAGACATAAAGGTACATTGTTGTATACAACTGTAAGGAGTTGCAGGTGTAAGGTACTTTAGTATTACAAAATGTCTTCTGTTCTCACAGAGAACCCACTCGAGCTCGATGGATGAACCGATGGAGTCAGACGAACGCTACCCAGTACAGGTAAAACAAACTCACATCTGATCACGATGAAAACTCAAACACTTAACTGACTTTCTTCAACTTATAACTGGCCGGTTCTAGAGCCCCTTCCCCTGAGCAGGTGTAGATCACCTGTTCGAACACGACACAGGCACATGCGCTCGAAAGTGTTCGAACAGGTGGCTGGTCCTGCTCGAGGGAGGGACTAGAACTGGCAAAAATACAAATAACAATGGCAAGAGTGCAGCACTATCTTTATACATTGTAACATTACAATTATACTATCTATATACATTGTTACACAGGTGCGACCAGACAGGGCACTGTCGGAGCCCGTATACAGCGGATACACGGGAGATGCGAGCTATCACCGACCAGAACAGGAGTCCGAGAAGGGAAGAAATGGAGTCACCAGTGGACCATCTTCCCCTTCATTTTCTTCTACATCTTTGGCGTCATTTCCATGGTTCAACCGAAGTATCTTCATTTTCTTTCTCTTGCTTCTTTTTGGTGCAAATAACACACAAGTTCTATACAGTAAAAATTATTTCACATTACATATTTAGAAATACATGTATGAACACCTATAATTGCACAGTGGCTTTTCCTCTGTTGTTTTCTAGTGTCATACGGTATTCTTCCTGAAAGTTTCTGTCTTGTAGTAAACTGTGATGTACGGAGTAAAATTGCATGTTTTTTGGCAATCTTGAAGGTTCAACAGAGGACCAAATAGAGGAGGACTTCTTCTGTGAGGAGTCCAAGCAGTTTTGGTACGCTGTGAAACTGCGTAAAGGCAGTTTCACAGAGGTTAAGGTAGGTGTTTGTCAGAATAACAGTTGTACAATATAAGAAGAGAAGGGCTGTCAAAATATAAGGATTCTGGGGTTCATTCACATTCTTGGTTCTCCCATCTAATTTTACGATGAGTATCACTTAACATGTTTTGAATTTGATACAGAGAACTTTATTGACACAGCAAAAGTACAGTGACTTTCGTATGGTCTAAGATTGCATGTAACAAAAGTGTAGGTCTTACATAACTTGTTTTAATAAATTTATTGGGCTTGCTCTCCTGTCCAGATCTATTACCACTTTGTGACAGCGATGAAGAGTGCGTTCCCAAACGACCCCCTCGCCACCCAGCTCAAGAACAACAGAGTCCTCAAACTCATCAAACATGTCTTTGGGATAAAAGGTAAGGCAACTGTAATTAAATTGTCTGGATGAATTCCTTGACTGATCCTCAATCTAATGCGAGAGTGTGAAAAAATTGCCTACATTTTCAAACTAGAGTTACTGCATAACATTCAAGAAGTGCGAAAAGTAACACTAGTATGGAGCCGCAGCTTAATGTTATGTTTCTCAACTATTTGATTCTTTCCCCTTTTTTTTCTGGAGGCGACAGACATGATGAAGTTCAGGTGGGCAAGTTTGTCCACCTTCTGGGCTGGTTCGGACCCTTCAAGGCAGATGCACAGGGACACTGTGTATGTCTGGCACAGGTACGCACAGTCCATTCTTTACAACCATAAAATGGTAAGAGAAGAAAAAAATGGTAAGAGAAGAAAACAAATCATTGCTTTTAATTTGAGGAAGAGAACGTTTTTAAATCTCCTCATCTACTGTCATCCAACAGATACAGGCACTGATGGATGGATCAACTACAAGAGTGGGCAAAAGGCAGGAAAGGTAAGCTATAAACTAGAGAGGCCGACATTTGCTTGGGAGCAAATACAGCATATTTCAGTCCATCTCCCTCCCACGCAAAAGTGGACTATTCCAAACTTACCCCAGTGTAAAACTGGCAAAGGTTCTCAAATAAATGATTTAAATAGCAGTCATGTATTTGGCATACAACACTTCCAAATGACTCATTTGGGGGACTTTAATGGCTATTTTCAGCAAAAAAAGGGCCAAAAGTGCTGTACCCGTTCCATGTTCTATCTAAAGAATGGCCGGTTCCATCCATGGAACACGTGTTCCATTGCGGGTTACCTGAGGTCACATTGCACCTAAGTGGTGCGTAATGACCCACACATTCAATTTTATGTGCCTAAGACCTTCAAAATGTATCAAATCTCATCATTGTTAGTTTTTGCATACCTGTAATAAGATTAGTAAAGCTTTCGAGATTCAAAGTACTTGTTGCATCTTTGTTCTCATATAGCTACTATTCTGTAGACACATGTTCAAGGTACCCTTATACCGAATTTCATATCATTTGGTTGTAAAACCAGGGCTCAGGATCCAAAAATCCATTTTTTGGCAAAAAATGCCCCAAAAAACCTTCATAAAATTTTTTCAAAGGCATGTATCAAAAAAATGAAAAAAACGCCTAGGGGTATTGGCCCACTCTACCTTCATGCCAAATTTCAAGTCATTTGGCTGAATGATAGTGGAGTTGAATCCCTTTGACTGTTTGGCAGGAGGAGGAGAAGAAGAAGAAGAAGGAGAAGAAACATCAGAGAACACAATATGTTTCATCCATACCATGGTATGGACTGAAATATAATTAACTAGAAAGGCCAACATTTGCTCCAAAGCAAATGTAGGATGGCTTCACCACGTTTCACAACATGGCAGGAAAAGAAGGAGAAATACAAGGGACTATTTTTAAACCAAATAAGCTGCTTTCCTCTATTCGATTGAGTAACTGTTTGTTGGCGTATCTTATTACCTGGATGTCTAACCTTCACCAACATACTACGAACAGCTGGTTTGCAGGTTTGATGAGCCAAGATGAAGCGAATCGTCGGCTGAGGGGACAGAAGAGAAGCACATTTCTGGTGAGGTTCAGTGAGAGTCTGAGTGATGAAGGTGGCTTCTCTGTAGGCCTGAGTTTGGGAGAGGACGAGGAGCCTGTACACTTCAACATCAAGGTGAGCTGGCAGGGCCGTATCGCCCAAGGTATCGGCCCGACCGCGGGTCGGATCGATACTACTCGCGATCCTACTCGCGGGAGGGCCGGGACCGAGGGCGATGCGGAATACACCGTGTTGTATTTTATTTATATCATACCCACCCAAGAAAACGCGCCTTTCAATGCAATATGAGCCAAAAGTTGGTGCCCCTAAACCCTCAAATGCAACAACATCAGTTCCAACGTCCGGATTCTGCACAAGCGGGTAGGGCAAAACGCGTTCGAATCATTTTATGGAAGCCATGGAAGCGTTCGATAACGGGTTCCGGAACGGGCCGTACCATAAAGTACGGCCCGGTCTGGAACCCGTTATCGAACGTTATCGCGGCCCGGGTATGGTATAAATGTAATTAAAGGCCAATGACCAGTACTAGATGTCTGTCACCATGGTAACTGGTGTTGGATGAACTGATGTTGGATGCCATGCAGAACTGAGTTGAAGAGGGGCTGCATGGTCACTGCATGGACCCCATTCCTACCTGTGGTCACCATATATGTGAATGTGTTTGAGTAAGAATAAATAGAACAGTAGCTTGGCTAGACCATATCAGGGCAAATCATTAGCTTTGCAAATGTTACTTTTCTAGTGAATGTGTATAAACTTAATCATAAATTTTCGCAAACATCACCCCAGGGAAACCCCCCAGCCGCTGCCTCTTCGGTGCCGTTTGACGCGTGTCTGGAGTTCGTGCCAGACCACGACTCGGCTAAGACGTACCCGGACCTCGTGACGCTGGTGAACAAGCGACTGAAAAGCGGGAACCCTGTGTACGGAGACGTGTTCTGTGTCCGACCGTGCCCTGACTTGCCTCTGAACGTAACCTTTACTGGTTACGAGGAAAATAGCTACAGACAGTTACTGTAGATACTGATCTATGCACCTGTTAGAACCCAGTGTTCTGGGGGAATAACATTGAGCTAGTCCCCAACCATACATAAGTTAAATTATGAGCTGTATTTGTGGCCGTCATATGTTGATGATTTTCACATTTTCCCTACATGTATGCTGCAATTTTACATTTTTTACTGATTGTAGTTTCAACCAGAAACTTAAAAGTCACTGGAAGCTCTTTATTGCCAACTTGCCACGAAATTTATGTGCCTCAAAGTTGATGAATTTACAGTATTATGTATTATTCTACAATGATGTTGGTGAACAAAAGACTCACTAGTGGAGTAGCTAAGAGTCGTAAGACAATGACAATGATGTTTATTTCCACATTCATGCCCATGTGGGCTAAATGTAGTAATGTTACATGTACTTTACATGGTTCAATCATATAACGTTAAACACTACGGCACTAGCACCACATCTATTGTATACAGATGGAGGAACACATAAGGCTACCATTTATTATAATTATATATATTATACTTTACATAGTACTTGTTTCTCCCTTCTTTTCAAAACAGGTGCATACAAACTTACATTAATGTCCGGTGATGTCATGATATATATACAAATAGATCATCCTAGACAATAGAGACTGATAAATGCACTTTTAGAACCAAGTGTCCCAATGGGAATCACATTTAGCTAGTCACCGCCAATACATAGAAATATTTGTAATCTCCAAGCAGATCTTTTGGTGACCGCAAGACAGTATCAAATTGATAAGACAGTATCAAATTGATAAGACAGTATCAAATTGATAAGACAGTATCAAATTGATAAGACAGTATCAAATTGATAAGACAGTATCAAATTGATAAGACAGTATCAAATTGATAAGACAGTATCAAATTGATAAGACAGTATCAAATTGATAAGACAGTATCAAATTGATAAGACAGTATCAAATTGATAAGACAGTATCAAATTGATAAGACAGTATCAAATTGATAAGACAGTATCAAATTGGTGCAAGGCATTGTCCATTTGCCAAAGAGGTAGTAAGGACAAAAAGAAGGCCCTATAAAAAATTAAATTATGCCTAAAAGCATGTATAAAGCTAAAGCCTAAATTTCTGCCCAGAGAGTAAAATATTTGTGGTGGTATTATGGTTATGGTCTCCTGACATCGTTCTCTGTCTTACATTACTTTGTATAATTGTAGTTCAACCAGAAACTCAAAAGTCACTGCAACAAAAATATTTGATAATATATATGATACATTGTCATATTGTTGTTGAATATGATCATGATAATGATAGATAGAATTGAGCAAAAACTCTGTGTGATTTGATATGATATTATATATTAGTGTGCTCCGTGACTTTTGAAGATAGATTCTTGTCAACTATATATTGTCAACTTGCCATGAAATTTATGTGCCTGTAAGATAAATGAATTTACAGTATTATTCTGTAATGTACAGTATAATTCAGTTGCACCTTAAATAGTGTCTTTAAGACACATGTTTTCCTTTTTTTGCTGCACAGTTTATATATATATATATATATATAGTGCGTTTGTATTAATTTGACATGACTCAGACTAATGGGCTTTATGTTCGAGAGACTATGATAGCTAGGGGCTGATATTTTGTTTATGCCATTGTTGAACAATATCCTAGAATAAGTAGCTGAGCACTCCTACATACAATATATAATATCATATTGTTGTTGAATATGATTATGATCAAGGAGTTTTGATAGAATTGTAGCAAAGGTGTGATTTGATATGATCAAACTTGATACCATACTTGTACTAGATTTGTGATTGATGTAACGTTACATTGTTATAAGTGCTCTCTGACTTTTGAAGATGGATTCTTGCACTTTTTAAATTTAATAAAGAGCTTTTAAGATAGTGTCTTCCAATGAACTTGTAACTTCACTTGATAATACTTACCACACACACAGACACACACAAACAATGACACATACTAAGTTTAGAGTACTCTTAGTAGACTAGTAGTACAGCAAAATTCGACACCCCTATAGCAACAATGGTATAGTCCCCGAAGAGCACGCTGGTCTTACTTCCGGGTTTCGGTACACCGCAAACTCGTTTACGTCATATGTTTTTGTCCTCATACTTTTAAGTTTTATACGGTAAGTTCTTTTTACTGCATATCTTATACTTTTGGAGTATAATGGTGTACACCCTGGGTCAGGTAGAATTTCAGGAGAAAAGACCAGCTGCCTTAAAAAGAAAAACATTTATTTTTAAGCCCAAGCCTCTTGTCAGTAACTTCCTCATTATTACTCTTGATGCACGTACTAATGCCATGATCCTACTAAGTTGTTGTGTAGACCCAACGACTTGGTTTTATCGGTGACATCGATTTTCAACAAAAGAGGAAACACTGAAACCCACAACTTATATAAAAGCAACTTATTATTGAGTTGTCGAAACAGCCGGAATAATTTTTGCTGCAATTCGAAGGAGCCATCAAGGCGCTCAGGAGATCCTGTCCTTTATTTTGTCCTTTGTTTTGAGTTCACAGGCCTTTTCATAGTTTGGAAATATAGACTTTGCAATAGTGATATGACGTTAGATGCTACTTGACTACGTCTTCAGCACGGGTATTTCCCCTGTTAATATGCCACCTGTCGGAGCTGGGAAAGAATACAAGTTCGAGGGGCAAGGGTTCGAATCCAGACTGAGCTCAGTTCTAGAGCACATTGACTCCGCTCTGGGGCTTCTTGCGGATGGCCACCCGGCCAGACCACATTGTGAGCTGGCCAGACGGAAGCTGGAAGACTTGTTAAAGGCAGAGCAGAACACAGTCAACCAACAGGACCTCACACAACCATGGGACCTGCTGGGACAAGGAGCTTTTGCAAAGGTAATCTACATTTCTAATCTCCAAGCAGATCCTAGGGAGGCAAAAGGCAGTTCATCAAATTGGCCAGGCAGTATCTCTTCGCCAGAGAGGGTCTATACGCCACCCTTGTACAGCCTGGCCAATTTGATACTGTCTTTTGCCACCCTAGGATCTGCTTGGAGATTGTAATACAATGTCATGTAACTACATTTTCCTCATTTCACAACTGGTGAACATTAACACTTAACAAGTAACCTCATTTCACAACAGAACTTTGTATGTGATAAAATGTATGAAACAAACAAATGATGTAATATCAGGTTTCCTCTAAATTGAGTCTTTATTTTAAGGTCTTCAAAGCGCGGTTGAAAGGCTCGACTGTCGCAGTCAAGGTGCAGATCAAGTATGACAGGACGATAACCGAACAACGGGTGCTGAGGTAAGTCGGCAGTAATTAAGGGGAGTTGGTCTGCTGTAGGAAACAGTTTGAGCGGCAAACTGTTCTTTCCAGCAGACTAACTCCCCTGGCATGTTATCTCTCTATTTGGCTGATTTAATCTTTCCAGCCGCCTCCCGAAGCCTGGTAGAGGCTAGCAGTTAGTAACTACGTAAGATGGAATCAGGATAGATTTTACAAGTGCACTTTCATGATGCATATTATTTATGAATATCAAACCATGTGCTGATTCAATATCTCAACGATATGCATATGTTTTTTCCCTAGGCATTTAAGCCATGAGAATATTGTAGCATTCCGCGGCACAGGTCGGCTATCGGAAGACGTCCCCCAGTTCGACCTAAAAGAGGGGAACCAATTCATTGGTATGTTCAAAGCTTCTGTTGATATGTGTGATGTCTATTTTTGCTTGGTTATGTAGAAAATAACTATCTTTTCCATACAAACTTTTATATAATATACCGGTGCTTAAAGTTTTTTCATTCCTATAAAATACATCATAGTATTGAGTAGAAATGTCGACAGTGTTCTTCGGTTTTCATCATTAGTTTCACTCACACTGATCTTTGGGATTAGTAATGCCAGGTGTGTCAAAGGTGTCTGGATGTCAATACTAGCCACTTCCCCGGTTTGTTTGTTCTTAGTTTAATGGCCTCATACGTTTACATACGGCGGCTAGTAATTTGACAGCATTTGTTAGTCTGTATACTATAAGTCTTACATTGGGCAACCCTATATAAATATGACGGAAAATAACTAAATATTGAATATCTGTAAATATAGCTGGTATAACCACAATTCGGCATAACACGCCAGCTTCACAGGCACGCGGCACGGCAGCAGCTAATTATAGTGCACTGAACAATAATAATAATATAATAATAGTGGTTTATTTCATTCTGACCGTACGATACAGAGTAGCAGGGTCCCCGTAGGACCCTGAATTGATCTGCCGCATTACATAAGTGTTTAAATACGATTGACTTCAATATTACAAGCAAGTATTAAAACAGTTAAAAACAGCAAATTATTTTAAAATATTTACAATACGTAGGTTACGATCGTAGGTCATTCAGTTAAAAACATCATCTATAGTAATAAAAACATCATCTATAGTAATAAACTTCTTCTACATGCTGTTATTTAGCAGACTGGTTAAGAATGGGATTGGACTGTTTCTGTACCGCTCTGTGTGTACTGGCAATCGGTCTAGTTGGTTTCTTTGTCTTGTTACCCTACCGCTGACGTCACCTCTGAGTTCGGGCAGCCAACCACGGTACTCTTCTGAGTTGAGCAGTTTCTTAGCAAACTTCAGACAGAGAGTGGAACGTCTGTCATCAAGTGTTTGTAAGTGAAGCACGTCGCAGGCTGACGAATACCCGTGGTAGTTTCTTCCCAGCATTATCTTTGCCGCTCGCCTCTGTATGTTCTCTATTTTTTTCCGTTGGTCACGTGTTAACCCCCAATGCCATACCGGGGCGGCATACTCAACCACCGGGCGAACAAACGACTTGTAGACCGTTAGCAGATCCTCCACCGGTAGATCAAACTGACGTAGTCGGCACAACAAGTACAAGCGCTGGTTCCCCTTACGTGTCATTTCTCTGACTTGACTGTCCCATCCCAGGTTGGCTTGAAATGTGACTCCCAAGCACTTGGCAATGGGCACCACCTCAAGCACGTGTCCGTTAATGGATAGAGGGGGCGGTGGTGGGGGGTTGCGGGCAAAGCAAATGTGCATAGCTTTGCACTTAGTGGGATTAAGCTTCATTTTGTTCTCCTCAGTCCAGGTGGACAGTTCGTCCAAATCGTGCTGTAGTCTGGGTGGTTCAGAAGTGCGTCTTGATTCAATGAGATTCAAATCGTCAACGAAGGCCCAAGAGGGCGATCTCATGATGTTTGGTAGGTTATTCACATGGGCTATGAACACGATGGGCCCTAACTTGGTTCCTTGTGCAAGCCCACATGTGAGTTGTTTCTTGTGAGAAAGAACACCCTGGTATCTGGTTCTCTGTGAACGTTCTGTGTGGAAACTGACGATCCAGGGGATGATCTCCGACCTGACTCCCAGCTCGAGCAGGTGCTGTATTGCTACCGTATGATCCACGAGGTCAAATGCTTTGCTAAAGTCTGTTAGTACCCAAGTGCTGGAGGATCCTCTTCTGTCTGCTGTCTTGTAGAGCTGGTTAGCCAAGTTGACAAGACAGTGGGTTGTCGACCGCCCCTTTAGGCACCCAAACTGGTTTTTACATATACGGTGTCCGATATCCTGAAGCACCCAGGATGCCACGAAACTCTCACATATCTTGCCAATGAGAGAGGTCAGCGACACCGGTCGAAGGTGGTCGATGCTTGGTGGGCTGGTTTTCGGGAGCGGTACCACAACTGCCTCTTTCCACTCATGTGGCACAGTCCCTTCAAGTAGGGAGGAGTTTAAAATGTCAACAATCGGTTCGCTCAGTTCGTAGGCAAATTCTTTGAGCAATCTGCCATCTATTCCATCAGGGCCTGGAGATTTATTGGTCTTGATCCTACGCAGTTTCCAGTACACTTCCCAGGGATGAACTACTGGGGGAGGGCGACTTGGGAGGTATGCTGACAGTTTGGACCGGTCCAAGGGTGGTAACGACGTTGTTACGTTCGTGAACTTCTGGTTGATGAGGTTAGCCATGTCGCGGTGACTGTCTGGATCAACCCCTTGAGCTTGGATGGTCATGCCCTTTTTCTGTGTACCTGTTAGGACTTTTATCTCCTTGTACCATGCACTTGGGCTGTGCTTCTTCAGGTTCTGAACCCTGTTGTTGTAGTAATGGCTTCTGGCTCTCTTGATCTCCTTCTGAATCTTATTGCGGAGCAATCTCCATGTTTCCCAATCCTGATCCCGGAATGCTCGCTGCCGCCTTCTGATCGCTGACTTTATCTTCTGGGAGATCCAAGGTTTGTCCTGGACATGCAGTCTTATTACCTTGGCAGGGAAATGTGTTGCTACTGCCGCGTTTAATGTCCTATAGAAGGCTGATGTTTTTTCTTGTGTTGTCTTTGCTTGTGTCACTTCGTTCCAATGATGTTGGGTGACCCACTGGCCGAATGATCGAATACCTGAGTCTTTCATTGGCCGTAACAATGAAGATTATACGGTATACCTATAACCATTCTGACTTGTTGTGTTCCCCAGTGATGGAGTATCTCCCCGACAGCCTGCTGGATTACGTGGAACGGCGTAAGACTCCGGAACGACAAGGTCTGACCGCGAACATCGTGTGGAAACTGGGCAGCCAGATCGCGCATGCGCTACACTACCTGCACACACTGCCCGACCCCATCGCTCACAGGGACCTCAAACCTGATAATGTGCTGGTTCGTAATAACTTTATTGCCCAACAATTGTACAGGGTACAAAGTATGGCATCTACTGGTACATATTAACTACACTTTCATAAGGCTAACCTAGCTAACACAAGAGTTTGTGGCAGGTATGGGTAAGGAATCATTGGATTGAACTTTTACAATCATTTGGAGGAATAGCACACAGGGATCTGAAACCTGACAATGTGCTGGTCATTCAAGATACTCATAACTGTTCAGAATCAAAGTAACCTTCTGTTGCTGGACAGGTTCCATAGAATTGCAGTGTTGTGATCTCAACAGTTACATGACTGTGAACATAAGAGTTTGGCAGTGTTTGTCCTTGGTGCTGAAAGAGTGGTAGTGACTGGCTATTGAACACAAGTCAAATTGTTCTCATAATATCATATAAAGCTAAATTCAACCAGTCACTCTGGTCTTCTCAAAAGACTGACCCAGTGAAGTCAACACTGGGTCAAGCTTTAACTCTTATTCTTCTTAACATATAACTACCGACACAGATGAACTTTCGTGATAACCTCCCTGTACTGAGGTTTTGCTTTCAGTGTGTTTGTTTGCTTGCACATGTCCCAATAGTTAGTTACTTTAAGTTAGTAGCTGTAACTAAGTAATAAGTAGATAAGTTAGCATTTAAACATGCATATGGTAGAGTCACGGTAAGAGTAAGAGAGGGGGAATGATGTAACCACAGACTGACATGACATTCAATGCCATAGTGTATGAGTTTCTTCATTTTTCTGTCATCAATGTGGAAGCTACTTTTCAACATACGTTTGAAACATCCAGTTGGACCCAGGGTCGTTGAGCATGCGTGTGAAACTTGCCGACTTCGGACTGGCCTGTCACAGCTACGAGCTGCACAACAGGAGGGACGAGGTGAGTTACAGTTTGTTAGTCATTGAAATTTTAGGCCTGTGTAATTTTTTATCTGTATCTGTATAACCGCCCTTTGGACAAAGTGGATTACCAAACCTATTAATATCTATGTGTATTTATTGTTGATGTGGTGTACATGTATGTATGTATGTATTTTTAAATGTTTCTACTATGTTGTAATTATGTAATTATGTAATTGTCTGAGCCTTGGAAGATTAGCCCTTCGGGGCTAAAAGGTTTCGAAATAAATGAAATGAAACCTGTGGCCACTGTCCCTATTATCTGAAAAAGAGCATGAGACATTTAATATCCTTTTTCTTTTCTGCATCCTGTCACAGTTTGCCCAGATCAGATGGAGAGCGCCAGAGCTGCAGCAGTATGGGAAAGGTGCCACTACAGGTGCACAGGCAGCAGCTGATGGTGATGAGGACGATTGGTCAGACTCAGATGACCTCGACTTGGGAGAAGACCCACCCGTAACAGACAGTAATTTTACAATGATTGTATTTTACACTCAATAACCAAGCTCATGTAGGTAGATTGGAAGCATAAAATTATGCAAATACAATCAAGCACAAAGGCTTTAAAAAATTTTGAACTGTCCATTATTATAATGACTGTTATAAACCACATCTAACTTTAAGAACTTTAAGTAGCTAATCTGATACACAAGGAATTGTTACTCAAGCAAGTGGATATTAATGTTTCAAGTAGCACCCACTACTTTTCGTCAGTTTGCAAAATCTATCCAGCTGCTGTGTTGAGTAACAATTCCTTGTGTATCTCATTACCTGGATGTCAATCCTTCCTTGACGTACTTAAGTTGATGTTTTTGTTCTTTGTCTCTTTTCCATGTTATAGAAGTCCAGCAGGTCGAGAAAGATGAAACGTCACCTTCCATAGATGTGTTCATGCGCGCTGACATGTTCTCCTATGGCCTGGTGTTGGGTTACCTCATCACTGGAGAAAAGCCTTACGACAAGCATGGAACCTACACGCTACAGGTTCATTCTGATGTTTACCGAAGGAAAACATATTGTTTTTCCTAGCTCAGTTTCTTACTCTTCTTCTCCAAACAAATATTATAAAGGTCAATGACCTGAACCAGACGTCTATCACCATGGTAACTGGTGTTGGGTTACATATTGTTGCAAGTGTCATGCACAACTGAGTTCAAGAGGGGCTGCATGGCCACTGTATAGATGAATGTGTTTGAGTAAGAATAAACAAAGCTTGTCAAGTTGGGCCATGTGAAGGTAAACATAATGCATTTGCTTTGCAAATGTTACCTTTCTAGTTAATTTCTATGTTAATGAAATAACATAATAATGAAATTATTTTGAATATTAATGTGATTTTCATTTCAGTTTATGTTTAAGCTAAGTCTTTTGTTAATTTTGTTGTCTGATTTTATTACCGGGGTATATTCCGTAGTTATATTTTGTATCACATTGTATGAAGACTGCATGAAGACTAGTTACTGTATTCACTAATGGAGATCTCAATAAACCAATTTGGAACCAAACAGAAAGATCCAGACACCACAACCCAGGCGCCGCAGAAAGTCGTTCCCCACCCTTCCCTAACAGGACCTCTGCCAAAGATCATCAAAAGCTGCTACGACGATGAGCCGACTGCACGACCAACTTCTGAAGACGTAGTTACTCAGTATTTCAGTGGTAAGATTGTCCCTTAAAACTAGCCTCTACCAGGCTTCGGGAGCGGCAAACTGTTCTCTTACCATAGACCAACTCCCCTGCCATGTTACCTGTCTATTTGGCCAATTTCTACTCTTTCCAGCCGCCTCCCGAAGCCTCATAAGCTACTATGCAATCATCTTCCATGAATAGGTCTCATTATGGTCATTAGTGTTTTTGAAATACCTAAGGTTAATCTTTATATGTTGATGATGAAGTTGACTTGTCTATGCATTTGTATTTTGTTAATGGCAGTTGATGACAACCCGTACGAATCCGAGGCGTTGAAAGCAGTGTTCTTCTCCTGTGGATTTCTGCAAGACACCAAGATCTTTGTGGCAGATTCTCTGGTTGGGGAGGTAAAGCAACACTCTTCCAAATTCTCTTTCAGAGTTCGTAACACCTAGCAAAGCCATTACTTCATCATAACACTGCAACTTACCAGATCACTCAACTCAGATTGTGATCATGATTATCTTCCCTTTTACTAGTCTACCGAAGGATTCCGATATGATGGCATCAGACCGCAGGGGTACCCGAAGGAATGTCTGGAGTGTTACGTGGAGGTGAAGGAAGAACCTAACCATGATGTACCAGACGACTGGGAAGATCTACAGTATGACTACACAGGTGAGGTGTTCTCTAGCAGTACAATCAATAATACTTAATTTTTGCTCTATTACTCTTATCCAAAATAGAAAACAGATGACTCCATGCAGATGAATAACAAGGCTTTACCCATAAATAATTTCATCATATCCATAAATGATTTCGTTAGGTTGGTGATTGAATACTAGTAGTTCTTTCTTCACAACCACGAGCTTGTTTAAGAAGAGCTGCCATGGCGGTCTGTCATCTACATCAGGGCAATTATAACTGTGCAATGAAGTCAGGTGTTGTAGTGAATTCGAACTAGTCATGATTGCCCTGAAGATGACGGATGGTCATTGAAACATTGGCTCTTGTCAATGTCAAACAAGTGGTTGGGAATTAAAAAAAAGAGCTATTTTACAAGGATGTTAACTTTCAGAACATTACTTGAGGTTCAAGTCTGATGCAGACCAGAAGATAATTGACGACAACCCAAGTGTGGCACTGAAGCAGCTGGTGACAGACAGGGCTGGGCCAGAGGAGGAACAGAAACTCGAACTCAAGTAAGTTTAAGATAGCTAGAAATCTCCATGTTACCTCCATGTAAAATGTTTTTGTTTCTGTTTGTTTGTGTTTTGTATACTTTGACCAGCAACAACTTAAGAATATTTGGATGGACTATGATGATACTGTATTTGGTACTTTAGTAGGTCTTGAAAAGACGAAGGACAAGGTCAATCATGAATATCCTAGAGGCTTCCAGTGGTACTGCAGCAGAACTTCTGGTTTTGTATATTCAGTTCTGGACATGGTTTTGATCTATTCATGACAGAACATTATACCTTTTAATAATCAGAAAGAAGTGGTTGTTTCAGTCCCCCCTAACTGTATGTTGTTTTCAGAGCACACATACAAAGTAAAAGTATTCCCCCAACAAATCAGGTTTGTGCAGAGTACATACTGCCACTATCGCGCCATGAGAGAGATCTGGAGGAGCTTCCAGGAGCCAGAACAGCTAGAGTTAATACCATGTAAGAGCGTCGTCCATCCTCACTACAGCACGTCCTTCGGCTTACATGTGGCCATCCTGACCAACGAGGGGCCGGACAACCCGCAGAAGTTCATCTTTGCAAGGAGATCAAAGCGAGAAGGTGTCGTATATTGTACATTCCTTGTCCTAAAACCAACAACGGGTCTGAGATATTATCATGAAAGATTCTTCTGTGTTGGTACATGTTTAAAGGTGAAACTTTTGTCCCAACCCAAAAAGGTAAATATAGGTACGTCGTATAGGTGAGAACATTTACCTTTTTCTGTTGGAACAAAAGTTATTCCTTTAAACAGGTCTGAGATATGGCAACATTGATTGTTATTTGTCTGCTTCTGTTTCTTTCTCTCAGGCATGCATAGTCCAGGAATGTTCACGTGCGGTGCCGTGGAGAGTTGTTCTGTGAAGGACTACATCGTGAAGGAGAACGGCGACACGTATGTGTCCCTGCTGAAGACAGCCACCAGGGGACTGGATGAAGAACTTCGTGTCGACCTACGGGTATGGTTGCTCTTAACCTTGAACCTTGAATGTGGACATCGGCGATGTCATCATAGGCCGGGAAACAATGTTTCCTTCTTCTCCACTCGTCACTGCCCTCCATCAGTGAGCAGAGTGCTGCTGTTAACCTTGTTTAAACAAGAAAAGCTTTTAAAAAAGCTAAGGCTGGCCTCAGGAAAAAACTAAATTAGGGCTCGAAATTCATTTTTGGGAATAGGTGCACTGGTGCACCCAACCGGGTCGATAACTGATCGTAAAGGTATCATAAAGGAATGTCCGATCCCATTTCTAATGGTGCCGTTGGTATGACCTGGCCAGTGTTTGAATCCACAAACCTTCCAAAATGTAAGACAAAGACTCTGCCCGCTAGGCAATGCACATCTTTTGTTCACTAAGACTTCAACTTATTTACTACTGGACTCTCTTGTTCTGTAGGACAGTGACCCCGAGGCTCTGGTTCTCAACACCGTGTACCTGAAGTTTGACAACCACGAGTGGGGACTGTGTGGCTACGTCGACCTGACCGACCCTCGCATCTCTAAAGGGGCCCAGCTGAGCTTCGACCAACTCCGCGGTCGCTTCACGACCGGCCCGAAGGACAAATTTGAACACGAGGAAGTCGTAGCAGTGGACTTTAAACTCGTTCCGATGGTGGAATTCGTGAGGCAGAACTATCAAGATTTCACCAGCTCGGCAAAACTTGTTGTAGTGAAGGTTATGCAGGCATTCTTTGGTGTAGCTGCGACGGAACATGCGTTTAAAGCTCACGCACTACCACCAAGCTAGCTATAGGCAACATGGAGACGTCTAATATTGTTCAATTCTCAGTTCAGTTGCTCTTCTTCCAACAAGAAATTGACCTCTGCGAGATATTTAGAGATAGCAAATAGCAATGAGAGTGCTATATGCTGCACCTTTAACATAAACTTCATTATGCAACAATTGTACTATATTTCTTCTCTTCATGTCTAGATGAAAATAGTTTTTGTGTTCCTGTCAATTAAAACATTGATTTCAAATGTTACACATGCTTCTTTCGTACATCATACTGGCAAAATAACGGACATACATAATTTGGAACATAATTTGGGAATTTTATTCAATTAAATGCTTTCTGTAAACATTAGATCCTAATCATTCCAAGGAATGTGTTTATCAAAGTTGAATCTGCTTATAAAACTCCCACAAATAGTCACAACGCCCCCTATCAATTTAAGTAAAAACTACAGCTTTTGTATTAGATTTCCTCCAATGGTACTGCAGGACTTGTTGACATTTATTTGGTTTTCTTCTTCATCTTGTCTTGTAGCATAACATAGCCAAAGAAGGAACCTGTAAAATAAAAAAAAAATAGAAATATATTTAATTCATAATGATTCATGTAACTAAAATTCTGTGCTTCAATTTTTGTACTTAGTGAGAGCTTTTGACACCAAATACAATTCTATCTTTTCTTTTGAACCTCCTCAATCTACTACTATATCTATCTATGAAATAGATAGATAGATAAACATATGCATAGATAGACACATAGATAGATAAATAGATAGATTGTTACAATTACTTATACTAGATGTAGGTAGATAAATTGATAGATTAATAGATAGAATTATTATTATCATTAGATAGATGGATAGAAAGTCAGACAGATAGGTGGATTGATAGAAAGATACTTCTTGTATACCCTACCTATAGCACTGAGGACCACCACTCCTGCTACTGTAGGGTTAGGGTTAGGGTTAGGGTTGGAGACACAGGTATAACCTTACCTATAGCACTGAGTGCCACCACTCCTGCTACTGTGGGGTTAGGGTTAGGGTTAGGGTTAGGGTTGGAGACACAGGTATGACCCTACCTATAGCACTGAGTGCCACCACTCCTGCTACTGTGGGGTTAGGGTTAGGGTTAGGGTTGGAGACACAGGTATAACCTTACCTATAGCACTGAGTGCCACCACTCCTGCTACTGTGGGGTTAGGGTTAGGGTTAGGGTTAGGGTTGAAGACACAGGTATGACCCTACCTATAGCACTGAGTGCCACCACTCCTGCTACTCTAGGGTTAGGCTTAGGGTTAGGGTTGGAGACACAGGTATGACCCTACCTATAGGAGGGTCTGCATGCACATCGTCGGGCCATGGTGAGTATCGAACCCAGGACCTCTCGGTTCCGAGTCCAACGCTCTAACCGTTGCGCCACCGACGCCACATTATGTTAGATATACACTGTATGTTTTAAGTTAAAGCTTTTTTTCCAACACGGGATTGTTCTCACCTGAAGCTTTCAAGAAGTCACTCTGGTTTTCTTCAAAAGACTGGCCAAAAGCTCTAGGAGAACAATCTCTTGTGTTGGAACAAAAGTTTTACCTTTAAACAAAAAAATACACATGTAACCTCCAACACAGATGAATTTTCATGATAATCATTCTACATTCTGCTAGCTATAATTTTGTCACTGTCAGATGTAAATTTCACAGACAATGGATACCTTCCAAAATCCGTTTGGGTCTGCAGCAGTGAAAGCAAACAACTTTAAGATTTCATCCTGCATCCTTGTTGACATGTCTTCTCTGTATACGTCCCCAGTAAATATTGAAATATACATTCTTTTCTCATAATTGTTCCCATCACTCTGCTAGATATTAAACTATTGATTTTAGGACGTTTTGTACACTTAAATGTGCGCAGTATATTTTGAATAGACATTGGGCTCCGGGAGCAATTATGAGAAAAGAATGTATATTTTAATATTTAGGGTATACAGAGAAGACATGTCTGTATACCGTAAATATTAAAATATACATTCTTTTCTCATAATTGCTCCCGGAGCCAAACTGTTATAAACATTGCCCAGCTAGATATTAGACTATTGATTTTAGTATGTTTGGTACACTTTAATATGCTCAGATCAGACTAAACAAAAGTCTATGGAGGAAGAAGGTGAGTGAGGTATAGTTTTTTTTTTTCAAGGTCGGATTTCATTGCATTCTGGGAGGCGCGGTGCACTATGGGCCACATAAAAATCATAACATGCGCTGATGCAAAGAGTCCCGTGCCAGAGTACACCTCTACCAGGTTTCGGGAGGCGGCTGGAAAGAGTAGAAATTGTCAAGTACTCAGAGATAACATGCCAGGGGAGTTGGTCTGCTGGAGAGTTCAGTTTGCCGCACCCGAACTGTACTTTCTAGCGGACCAACTCCCCCGGCATGTTTAATATCTCTCTATTTGGTCGATTTCGACTCTTCCGGTTGCCTCCCGACTGAGCCTGGTAGAGGCTAGAAGTACCCGTCTTGCCTCGTTGCCACATCGCCTCGTCACGTATGACGTAGCCTGGTGATGATAGTTTATATGTTATTATTAACGTGGACCAATGGTAAGACTGCTAGACAGTCCTGCACATTTGCTTTACCCTGCTCGGGGACACTTGTCTAAAGCGCGCCGCGCTGTGGACAGAAGAGAGCGCGGCCGATGGAAGAAACACACGGCAACAACTGAGTGTGGTTTGGATCATGTCAAACTTAGAATCGACTCTGAACAGTGTTTGATCTGAAACATCAGACGGTAAGAAACATTCTCAAATTTGATTAGTTCCTCTCAATTCTCTTTCTATATTTTTCGTAAATTATTTGTAGAATGTCTTTTTTTTTAGTTTTTTATTGACAGCAGTGCGGCACCAGGCTGTGCATAATGTGAGAGTTTTTTAAATTTTATATTTCAACAATTGATAACTTTGTACGAGACACCGCTCTTACACGTAACTAAGTGTCAGAACTTGGTTTAATTCAATAGGACGATTGCTCAGTGAAAGATATGTTTTCATCTGTTTTTTTACACAGGATTCTACTAGACATGATGTGGAAATTATGGCTGGCCACCTTAGTGCTGGCCGTCACCATTGGTGGAATAAGTGGCTGTAAGTACCAAGGATTCTATATTGTATATAGTAGAGGGGATTCAGTCCTCAAGCTAACAGACATCTCGCACGCAGTCGTCCCTCAGTAAGACATCTGCATGGAGCCGTATAGTTTCCGTTTAGAGTTTATATTTAGCCTGTCAAACGACCGGTTTCGCCTGTGTGGCTTCTTCAAGTGTATAGGATTCTATATTGAGTTTTGTGGCGTGGTCCCGATCGTGCCGTCGTTGAAGATTTTTATGCCATAGAATTTTTAAACAAGCTGTGTCAGAACAAACCCCCGATACTGGCAGGCCAAAAATTAAATGAAACGTTATGTTGATAACTATGCTTGTCACTACAGCACTAAAATGTCCTAAAATAATGGTTCGTTAAACATTTGGTTGCATGTTTGAGTGGGAAGAATGTTAGGTAAAAGTTGGCATAACTTTCAACCCCGGGGAATGCGGTAATTTATATATATATGCTACATGGACACAGTACCCGGCGCTAGAAGGCAAGGATCTAATATAAATCTAAAACAGATCTAGAAACGTAGCATAAGTAATCCATGACGTACAACACTTGTTTTTCAGATTTTCCGGAGTTGAGGTCATCTCTAGGTTTCTCAAGCCCAGATGGAGGCCGGGAAGTTAGAAGGAGTGGCCCCTACATCGATATCGTTCTCATCCTGGACGATTCCTCCAGCATCGCGCCGAATGTGTTCCACAACACCCTGGCGTACTTGGTCAAGTTCAACGGGTGCAGAACCTACTTCGAAACTCGGGTAAGTCGTAAGTTCTGATAGTTTAGAATTTAATTACATGTAATTAACTCTAATTATGGAGTTTTTGTAGCCTCCATAGCATGCCAAAAACCGGCGGTTTGGGGGGTCTTCAGGGTCTTTGGGAGCTTTTTATGCAGTGCTATTTTCTGATTGCATGATATAGACAACATAGTCACCCTCTTTGAATTACCCGTTTTTTGAACTGGGCTAATCAGAATGTGTGTGTGCGTGTGTGTGTGTGTGTGTGTGTGTGTGTGTGTGTGTGTCTGAGGTGTGTGTCTGAGGTGTGTGTCTGAGGTGTGTGTGTGTGTGTGTGTGTGTGTCTGAGGTGTGTGTGTGTCGGAGGTGTGTGTGTGTGTGTGTGTGTGTGTGTGTGTGTGCGAATGTGTGTGTGTCCGTATGTGTTTTTGTGTGCGCGTATTTGTGTATGTGCGTGTGCGTGTTTTGTGCATTACTGATACCGATAGTTGTAATTTCATTTTTGTTGAATGTTTATCACAGGTTGGAGTTATTGTTTCTAACTGCGCACCGAGGACAGAAGTTCCCCTGGGCCGGTTCACGATGGGTGACGAGAAACTAACAACCGCCCTGGGATCCATACAGCGGCAGGGAGGACTGAGCCGACCCGGCCCGACTATTCGCTACATGATGGACACGGTAGGAGCTCTAATCATGAACTGTATATTGAAGTGTCTTCGGTACATCTTTTTTACACGTTCTAATTTTCTTTTGCCTCAACTAGTTTGGATTAAAAAATATCATTATCCATTCCCTACCGCCATACATACACGTATGCTTGTTGTTTTGTTTTTGTTTAGTCTCGTTTCTATGATGGGGTTCATCCAGTGGCCGTAGTCCTGACAGACGGGTTTATTCAAGGCGAGGTACCGTATGACAGACTTTCTACTTTGTATCATAGTGCTTTAATTCGGGTACGGAGGCATTGCTATGTGTGTGTATGTGTGTGTACGTGTGTGTGTGTGTTTGTGTGTGCCTGCGTGTACGTGTGTGTGTGTGCCTGTGTGTGTGTATGTTTGTTTGTGTGTTAGTAGGTGTTTGGGTGCAGTAGGGTGTCAGGAGGGGGTTTTGTAACCACAGATTGACCTTAAGGACAAGTTGACAGTCTAAATCATCTCCCTGTAGACTGGGAAGAAATGAGTCCTCCGACACTGTTACTGGCTTGTCATAACATTAGCTCTCTGCAATATTTCTGTCTTTAATAGGTCTGTTTAAAGAACCGCGTACGTCAAACCATTTCTTTATTTGCGCCAATAGATTTAAAAACTATAAATATCTAACTGAGGTTTGAATTATCCGATTTCTTGTTTTCTTGTCCACTGACCCAGGATGATCACACAGCAAACGCTGCAGCAGCCAGAGCCGCCGGGATCACGATGTACAGTGTGGGAGTCGGAGACCGTGTGGACATGGGTGCGCTCAATGACATCGCCGGTGACGCCAGCAGAGTTTTCGACGACAGCGATCCTTGCGATCTCTATCGCAAAATAACTGCGGATTTTGGTGCGTATTATCAATCTATCTATCTATATCTATTTATCTATCTGTACTTTTAGGGTGTACCGTTTAAAATAAAGTAGAATGTCAGCAAAAACTAATTACTTCTTTCTAATTAAGGAAAGTACTATAACAATGATTTTAGTATTTTTCTGACACTTAGATGCTTTAGAATATGCTGTATACCACTATACATTTTTAAATGTATAGTGGTATCTTGTCATATGAAAACCTACAAAACTATTTGGGTGCACTGGTGCACCAACAGAAAAAAAGGGTGCACAGCTCCAAGTTTGGGTGCACATGCACCCAGTATTTCCAGCCCAGAGAGGCAATCTCTGCGATGTTATGATATGTTACAATATCCATATTACCAACAGGTAAAGACTTCCAAATCCACGGTGGTGACGACAGTGGTTCCATCAGCCGTGGTGACGTCAGGGCCCGCAGTGAGAGCGAGAGCCCACACAACTGGTACCGCAGACACCGGTGGGAAATGAGCGGCCTGCAGTGGCAGCAGGGAAGGATCCAGTGGCCGAAACCGGGGTCTCGCCAGAAACTGCCAAAGCGCCGCGGGCAACAGTGACTCATCTGACCATTTCATAGTATGTGAAGCGACACAACATCACCCAACTGATTTGATACGTCAGTGGTGGTATTGTGGTGATTGGCGGTATTTCAAACGTGCCTTACATAGGATTCCAAACAACGTTTTTGCCTTTTAATACAAGAGCTAAAAGACAAAAGTGCTACATTTGTATCTGTCACTGAAAAATCATGCCCATAGCATGTGCAGGATACTAGTACAACATAGTTGTTACCATAGAAAACTGTCGGCAATGGTAGTGTAAATTCTATCTATCTAAGTTTAAGCCATCAGATAGAAACATTATTCAAGATATCAATATTCAAGATGACAAAGAATCTAGGATATATCTTAAGGTGATGAATACATTTTGAGTAATATCAATTAGCGATCATCTATTTCTGGAACTTCATTGGAAGATAGCAGTTTGATTTTCTAATTTGTAATAGACATTGCATCATCCCATCATAAGGCATTAGAAGATCGAGTTCATCCATGATCTTACTGACTGTGGTAATTCTAAGAAGCAACAAACGCAATTGGTGTGGTCTTAAATAAATAATGAACTGGTAGTATGTGCTACTATGTCTTATGTATCATTTATACAAGAACAAAAATACGCTCAATTAACATATACAGAAGCTTCTAAGATTACACTGTTTGCCTTACTTGTTTGCATATTTGTAGAATCAATCAAACAATGTACAATATTTGTACTGCGTGATCTATCAAAAATTTTGAATCTAGAGCAGCACAGTTTGCCTAATAGTTGTCTATCAGAAAATAGGTCTCAAATCTCGTATTCACCATGGTTACTATCACCATGGTTACCATCATCATGGTTACCATCTAACCCTCGCCATGGTTACTGTCACCATGGTTACCATCACCATGGTTACTGTCTAACCATTGCCATGGTTACCATCATTATGGATGCCATCACCATAGTTGCCATCACCATGCTTACCATCACCATAGTTACCATCATCACGGTGACCATCACCATGGTTACCATCACCACAGTTACCATTACCATGACTACTATCGCCATGGTTACCAAAAACCATGGTTGCCATCTCCATGGTTACCATCGCCATGGTTATCATCACCATGGTTACCATACCCATGGTTACCATCTCCATGGTTACCATCACCATGGTGACCATCACCATGGTTACCATTACCATGGTTACTGTAACCATGGTTACCATCACCATGGTTACCATCACCACGGTGACCATCACCATGGTTACACAGGTCCGTCGTACTCGGGTCTCTCATACTGCGATGGCCTCTCATACTGCGAATAGAGAACGTCTGGGCTGTTTCCCCGGCAAGGCCCCATAACGAAGCAGCACCCATCCCTGATGAGGCTGCCCAGCTCGGCCCACATGTGTCTGTGTGGGATCATGTCACAGCCCTGCTTCTCCCTCACTGTGTGAAGGTAAAACGCACCTGGGAAAACAACCATATATAAATTTGTGTTCTGTTGGACAAATGCCTTGGTAAATAACAACTTCTGTATCTGTACCTGGACATCGGGGTAGCAGGTATAACCACCCTACGGCATAACACACCAGACAATGCACACATTTTGTATTAGTCAAACATCAACATTATAGCCTGTATCAAGAAAGGACATAGGGGGGAAATCATGCACATAAAAAACTCAGATAACTGAAGACAGGAACTGTAAAATATGCAGACAAACACAGAAATAGTCCAGATACCCACCTGCAGCGAAGTAGAACGCCAGGGAGACTGTGAATATGATGAGCAGGACGGACCCAGGACTGAGGTCCTTAAACCCCTCACACCCCGTCACACAGGCACAGGGCGTGGCCATCGTCATGACAACCGTCCGGCTGGCCTCCTGGTAACCTTGGATATCAAGGTCGAAGATGAGGCCGCACTGGAGATGGATGACCGTGTGACGCACGTCTCCCAGCTCATATCCACCTACAGGCAGTTAACAATGATTAACAATAACTAACCATACTAGCTCTAGTTACCCTCACTCTCTCATTGATCTATTGATCTCTTCATTATTTCTTCCACCTGAAACTTACATCGAAATGGAAATACACAAAAAGTGTGATGTCACTGATGGAAAACAGTTGTTTAAAATTTGTAGGCTGGTTCTAGCTATTTATTGGTGGAACAAAAAATAAAGAGACTCCTCATGTGATTTAACTTTTTTTTATTGGTTGGGGGCTATTTCAAACATCTCAAGAACGAAATGATGACAAAAATGTGATAAGAAATGGCAGTTAATGTCAATATCAGACAGATTTCCTTATCCAGAATATTTTTGAATTGCCGTCCTGAAATTAAATTAAATACAAACCTGTATAGACAAGATCGATGTATCCAGTATCGTTGTTGTAGACAAAGTCTGAGTACAGATGTTCCCCACAGTTGTAATACGTGTCCACCCCATCCACCTCCCGGTACATGCACACGGCCACATTAGCACAGACATCGATACCGTTTGGCTCTTCAAACGGCAGGCACGGGTTGAAGGAGTAAAAGTTCAGGTCTCTGAGGAACAGGTGAGGAAAAGGAGGATTTAGTCACCATGAAACATTAAGTCCATATTTATTATGAATTGATTTTCTAGGTCTTTGTTTGATGTTACACCTTTGCACCCATTGTAAGCTGTGAGCGGTATCTTTTTTACCCTAGTTTATACTCCACTGTCCAGCAAAAGTTGACATTTTTTTAGTTATTTGTTAGTAAGTTATTTGCCCATAACAAAACAAGTCAATTTCTAGCAAATCGTAAGTACCAATATGCCCGCTGTTACCATTTCGTCAACTCAAAATACTGAAGAAGTTTACAATAAGTTAGATAAAAAAAACAACGTCTGAAGAAATTACCAGACACAACTCCTGAGAGGTTGACCATGCACATGCATAAAACACTGGCTTCCCGTCATGAGTCATTCCCAACATTCAGAGAAACAGCCTGTTCCTGAGAAAATGAAATAAAAACTTTCCAACATTTCATTTTCTTACTGACTTAGAGAGATTATCAGACAGCTGAGATCATATTTCAAGCGATTCATATTTAGTTTATTAACTCATTAGCTGCTGATAATGTCTGTTTCATAATTTTTTCAGTAAAAATTTCACCAGTCAAATCACCACATTGTAAATCAGACTTTTTGCACTCTAATTATTGCATACTCTTACTAATTTTTGGTCCATACCCAATATAATTTATGTTGATTTATCAAATTTACAATGTTATTTGTAAATCAGAGCCTCCAAATTGAAACCTTAGGCAGATTACTTTTAGTGTGATTACCAGGGAACTATTTTAAGGCACTTCCCAACAAATAAACATCGCACGTCAATTGACACAAATTCAGAAACATTCCTGAAGTCGACTGCTAAGAGTTTTCCAGACCTGCCCTGTTCATCGTACACCATGGGTTCTCCTACTTCCGCCATTGTGATGAGGTCGATTTTCCCCGAGCCGTCCGCCATCTCACAGCTGCACGGGCCTGTCTTCACACACCTGGAACACAGGAGAAAGGAGTATTGCCTAAGAGTACATGTAACTCGTAGGTTGACTCTGGCACGGCCTTTCAGTTCACAACACATTCTTACCTTGAGGATACCTTGAGGATGTATTGGTGGCTGAAGGCATCGCCTGTTGTGCCACCCTCTTGTCATTCCAGGTACTTCCTCTCCTCCCAACACATGTCCAACCTTGACTTGAAGGCATACTCGCAGCCTCTATTCTTAGAATAGACTTACTATATTGATCACATTGTCATTGTTGCCATACATTGTAATTTGCACCACGTACAACTGTTGAGCAATAAAGTTCATTCATTTATTCATTCATTCATTCATTCACTCATTCATTCATTAAATCACACTCATTTCATTCATTCAGTCACTCACTCATTCAGTCACTCACTCACTCTGAGATACACACACTCACTCACTCACTCACTCACTCACTCACTCACTCACTCATTCACTCACTCACTCACTCACTCATTCATACAACCAGCGCTCCATATTTGGTTACACCACTCCCTCTCTTCTCTGAGATTTATTAGGCCAAAAGGTCCAGGACCCACTGGACTGGGCAGCCTATATACTCGCTGTTACTCACCGCATCTCCCCGCTCACTGTCGTCCCATGGAAGGCCAGGAATACTAAGAAATGGCAGAAAAACCACGAGATTCGCAGATTTTCCTTCGTGTTGGCCGCCATGTTGGAATTCTGAAGGGGTCATAGGTCACAGAGTCAGGGCGGTCAAAGGTCACCAGCTGGCGAGGTGGCACTTCCTAGTTGCAAGGATCATATTTTGGTGTGGTGTTAAAAAAGGTTGCGTTTTAAAGCAAAATGGTGAGTAACTTAAGTCATTTTAGTTGAAGTATAAGCAGAAAAATCACATGGACAAGCTGTCCAAATGATTATCGTTCCAAGTTTCACCGTTGAACCGCTAGATTTGTCTAGTTTTGAGAGTAAGTCTCCGTTATAATTTTTATCACCAGGCTAATCATATAAATGATATATTAAGGAGGTTAAATGGGAAGTCTAAATCTCAATAGGTATATATTTAAAGAGATCCAGAAACAACATGTGCACTTCAATTTAAGGAAAAGCTGTAGTATTGGGTCTTTCAATTTTTCTTTTCTTTCTTTCTGTATTATATACGATTTTAGCTTTACATAATTTTTTGAAGTAACCATGATTTTTTTTCTGCAGGCCACAGGTTCAGACCAGGCAGTAGGTATGGCTATGGTGGCGCTCAGTGCCCTGATCTTTACTTACTACACCGTCTGGGCTGTTGTTCTGGTGAGTAGCTAAACCACCCAGCATGAAGGCTGTGTACAGTATACTAGTACATTGTGTATATGGAGGCCCGCAAGCCCTTTTCTGTAGAGCGTAATCTGCCGTTTTAATTCCACATAGAGCGTAGATGGCCCTCATATATATGTAGTAAAACTAGAAACTTAAGAAAGGTAACATTTGCAAAGCAAATGCACAATATTTACCTTTGCATATGGTCTGCTCTCATCGCCTCTGTTACTTCTTCCTCAAAGTTTATTCATATACATGTATATGGTGACAGGAGTCTGAATCCCTCCTACAATAAACTTGCAACATGATGTAACCCAAAATTAGTTACCATGGTAATAGACGTCTGGTTCAGGTCACTAACCTTTTTGGTTCGGAGAAGAAGAAGAGGAAACGTAGCTAAAAAAACAATGTATTTTCCTTCGGTAAACATAAATAGCCCTGACCATGTATTTCTGAATTCTGTACATTGTAAGCAAGGAATTTGCATCTCTGTTTTCCTTACAGCCTTTTGTAGATGATGACCACATTGTGCACCAGTACTTTCTTCCCAGACCGTATGCTGTCATCATCCCTACAGTAGCAGGAGTGGTGGCCCTCAGTGCTATAGGTAGGGTTATACCTGTGTCTCTATTACCCTAACCCTACCCTAACCTTACAGTAGCAGGAGTGGTGGCCCTCAGTGCTATAGGTAGGGTTAGACCTGTACCTGTGTTTCTGTGGCATACAAGAAGTATGTATCTATCTATCTCTCCATCTATCTCTCTTTCTATCCATCTATCTAATGATAATGCTAATTTTATCTATTAATCCATCTAATATATATCATAGTACATTGTAATATCTATTTATCTATCGTCTGTCTATCTATGCATTTGTTTGCCTATCTGTCTATAGATAGTAGATCGAGGAGGTTTAAAATGGAAGCCTCCTTGAGGCTTAGAAGAGAAGATAGATGGAATTGTACATATGGTATCAAAAGTTGTTACTAAATGTAAAAATTGAAGAACACAATTTTTAGTTACACGAATCATTATCAATTACATAAATAGATTTCTTTTTTGTTTTTTTTTATTTTACAGGTTCCTTCTTTGGCTATGTTATGCTACAAGACAAGATGAAGAAGAAAACCAAATAAGTGTCAACAATTGGCCTGCAGTACCAGTGCATCAAAAATCTGCAGTTTTTACTCAAAGTGATAGGGGGCGTTGTAACTATTTGTGGGAATTTTATGCACACTCAACTTGGATACACACAATGAGACATTCCTTGGGAGGATTAGGGTCTAATGCCAATGTCTGCACAGCAGCACTATTGAATCAAATTTCCAGCTTATGCTCCAAACTATGTACAATGTGTGTCCATCATTCTACCAAATTCTACCAAAGCAAAATGACTGAACTTTCATATAGATTTGTAGATATAGAGAAAAAAAAATATTGTACAATTGTTGTGCAATAAATTTTTGTTTAAGGTAATGCATATGGAATTTTCTGTTCAATTATCTCTAAATATCTCATAGAGGCTTGAAACCTTCAATGTCTTGTTGGAAGAATATTTCCTCCAATAGTCATGTCTCAGATAGGCAAAGTTTTCCATAAATTAAACCATATTAGACATCCCCATATGTTGCCTAGTTTGGTGGTAGTGCGTGAGCTTTAAACGCATGTTCCGTCGCAGCTACACCAAAGAACGCCTGCATAACCTTCACAACAACAAGTTTCGCCGAGCTGGCGAAATCTCGATAGTTCTGCCTCACAAATTCCACCATCGGAACTAGCTCGAAGTCCACTGCTACAACTTCCTCGTGTTCGAATTTGTCCTTCGGGCCGGTCGTGAAGCGGCCGCGGAGTTGGTCGAAGCTTAGCTGGGCCCCTTTAGAGATGCGAGGGTCTGTTAGGTCGACGTAGCCACACAGTCCCCACTCGTGGTTGTCAAACTTCAGGTACACGGTGTTGAGAACAAGAGCCTCAGGGTTGCTGTCCTATGGAAACAAATCATGTGAAATGTATTGAAGTATTTAGTTAGCAAAACTGTTACAATGGCCTATAGGTTAGAGCCGTAAATTTGGCATGTTCACCAATTCAAAGCCTGGCTGGGTCGTAACAACGATAACAAAAGCTAGAAATGGCACAATCTGATAAGCACTGAGCATTTATGGTTGTACTTGAACACATGCCACTACCAGTGGACTAGGGCCCTACTGCATCCCTGGCATCTTTAATTTAAAGAAATGTTAAGTACACCCTACAATACTTGGAATTTTTTTATGATTTCATGATTCACCACAAAACAAGGCTCATGGGAGCCACTCAAATGTTTTGGGTTACTGTACAGCCAGTGTGGACAGATGTTTGTTGACCTTAGACTTGAAAAGTTACAACCATACCACCCCCAGCATTGACACTCCCAACAAGTGTGACAGAAGTATCAACAAGTTGACATTGGCTACCTAACCACTAAGAAGAAGTATTGTAGGGGCCCTAGTGTAGCCCTGACTGGGCACCACACTTTACAACTCACCTGTAGGTCAACGCGAAGTTCCTCGTCCAGCCCCCTGGTGGCTGTCTTCAGCAGGGACACGCACGTGTCGCCGTTCTCCTTCACAATGTAGTCCTTCACAGAACAACTCTCTACGGCGCCACATGTGAACGCTCCTGGACTGGCCATGCCTGGGGGAGAGAACCAGAAACAGACAAATAACAATCAACTTAACAATGAGGCCTTTGATATAGAATGATGAACATTCATCATATGTCATATCTCACTTGATTGACATGTTCAAAAACTTGTATTTTCCTAGATCTATCATAGAGTGGAACTCGCTGCCACCAAGCACAGCTGGGGCATCATCACTAGAAGAAAAGGTTAGGTGTAACAGCTTGCCTGTGAAGCTGGTCTGTTATGCCAAGGGGCAATTATACCAGCAATACACTACAAATACAGATATCTCAGATCAAGCACCTTGCTCATGGTTGATTTTGATTTTATGAAATTACAAGATATGATATTACAAAATTAATCACCTTCTCGCTTTGCCCTTCTTGCAAAGATGAACTTCTGTGGGTTGTCCGGCCCCTCGTTGGTGAGTATGGCCACATGTAAGCCGAAGGACGTGCTGTAGTGAGGATGGACGATGCTCTTACACGGCACTCGCTCCCGCTGTTCTGGCTCCTGGAAACTCCTCCAGATCTCTCTCATGGCGCGATGGTGGCAGTATGTACTCTCCACGAACCTGGAATGTACCAGAGTTATCAACCAAGGCTTACTTACTTACTACATGCCCTTAATGCCAGTCCCGGCATGTAGGGCACAGCAACAAAGGTTCTCTAGTTCCCTCTGTCCTGGGCTACTCTCTGGATGGTTCCAAGTGTGGCTGAAGTTCTTCAGTTCTTTTGCAACCAAGGATTTTTTCCTAGACCTATCGCAGAGTGGAACTCGCTGTCACCAAGTACAGTAGGGACGTCATCACTAAATAGCTTTAAACAATTCTTATTGTACATTAACGATTTACCTTGTACTGCAAAGCACTCCACTGTAGCGTTGTTTGCTGACGACTCAAAATGCTATAGAGAGATTCGTAACCTACATGACTGTGATAAACTACAGGCCGATATTTCTTCTATGCATGAGTGGAGTCTCAAGTGGGGGATGTCATTCCATCCATCTAAATGTAAGGTAATCCGCTTGACTCGCTCCAGGAGTCCAATCACTTTTACCTACCACATGTCAGATATAGCCCTATGTTCAGTCAGTAGCATTAACGACTTGGGTGTTCTTGCCCAGTCTGACTTGTTGTGGAACAAGCATATTGTAAACATTGTAGCTAAAGCAAACTCGATGATGGGTTTCATTATACGCACAGTCGGTTACGATTCCAGCCTGGATATACGCAAAGCATTGTATGTTACACTAGTCAGATCACTTCTCGAGTATTGTTGCCCCGTTTGGTCACCGCTGTCGCGTAACCTCATGGCCCTCTTGGAGGGAGTTCAGAGGCGGGCGACTAAGTTCATTCTTCGTAACAATGCAAATGTCAGTGAACTTAACTACAAGGACAGATTATTGTACCTAAACATGCTACCTCTGTCTTACAGGAGGGAGACAGCCGACATCATGGTTTTCGTTAAGTCCCTGTCAAGTATGTATGACCTGAACGTGTATGAATATGTATCATTTTCAACCAGACCAGCAAGGAGTAACCGGTCTTACATATTAATGCAAAGCCGATGTAAAACATCTACATTTGCCATGTCATACATACCACGTCTGGTAACTGAATGGAATAAGCTTGACGTCGCAGTTCGCATCAAAGGGGCTTCGACGTCAAATCAGTCTGACTTATTGTCTTTTAAGCGTTGTCTTGTGAAATCTGCTGTTGAGAGATTTAAACATCACTTTGAACCTGACAACCTCTGTACATGGTCCACTGCGTGCAAGTGCGCGTCTTGTCAGGATTTGAGGGTTCGGTAGTCTGTCTATATTAAGCTTTTTTATAATGTATATGTATTTGTATGCTGGATAGATATAGAGTCTATTGTATTTGTATGCTGTATCGGGACGAGGGCTGGTAAAGGTGTTTCACCTGTTCCCCCGTCCCTTTCACTGTTGTGATGAATTTTAATAAATAAATAAAAATAAATAAATGTTAAGAGTTAGATGTTCAAGGGTTAGGTGTAAGAAGTCGTTCGGTGTAATATAGCCAGCTGCTGTGTGACTGAAGCTGGTGTGTTACAATAAGGCCAGTTATACTGGCTATACAGATACAGATACAGAATGATACAGATAATGTTTGGGGAATTCAGGAAAACTGATGCTCACCATGTAAAGGACAAACATGAAGGGGACTGAAACCAATATGCACTTCTTCCTAATATTAAAAGCTATAATGTTCAGTCAGAAATAGATCAAAACCTTGACATAAACTAAATAATTATGCAAAAACCAGAACCAAATGTGGCATTAAACTTACTTGAGTTCCAGTTTCTGTTCCTCCTCCGGCCCTGCCCTGTCTGTTACCAGCTGCTTCAGTGCCAACATCGGGTTATCATCAATAATCTTCTGGTCTGCCTGGTACCTGAACGTCTTGTAGTGTTCTGAAAATCAGAAATAAAATCAGATGTGCCAAAAAACAGTAACTCAAGCAACTGGATATGATTTTGGGAAACGGTCAGACGTTTTAGGTAGCATCCACTACCTTTCGTCAGTGACACTGGAGACTTGTCAGAAAGGCAGGTTTATAAGCACGAACTATCGATTAATATGCAAATAATTGAAGACAAATAAGTGAAGTGACTGTCTTATGAATGAATGACTTTATTTCGGGAAAAAACCCATAGTACAGACAGGACCACATAGACACTAAACACACAACAATCTATATACATTTTTAAAATACGTGTTCCTGAATTGGCAGTCTGATCTCAAAAGACAGCATATAATGCTATTATTGGTGGCGTATATTCTATTAATGAAAGCATAACACAATTTCCTGCGTCTAGCATCGAATGTATCGGTCGACAGGTGTACAAACATTGAACTGGCACTACAACCTCTTGGCAACTTAAGGAGAATACGAAAACAATTATTGTATGCAACACGACACTTAGCTAGTACACTCGCATGAACAGAGTTCCATAACTGGACTCCAAACAACTGAGAACAGTAGGACATAAACAAAGTCTTTTTCACAACGGGCGAACAATGATAGAATTTACGATTTATACAATTGGTATGGCGATATAGGCGTCTAATTTCAGCTCGAACACAGTCATTGTCACTTAACTTCACATTTAAATGAATCCCAAGATATACAAAGGAATCCACATATTTCAACTCAACATTATAAATTTTCACGGCGGGTAGAGGCTGCTGGAGTGGAAGGCCAGCGCTCGGAAAGTACATACAACAAGTTTTATTTGTATTAAACAAAATATCATTTACCTTACCAAAATGTTCACATATCCCAACCAGTTTCTGAAGGGATTTAACACTGGGGCATATCAAGCACAGATCATCGGCGTACAGCAGATGGTTTACAATAAAACCGCTGACGCGACAGCCAACTCTGGCATTTTTCAGTTTTAGACTAAGAAATAAACCTGCTTTTCTGTTTTTTGTCGCAACATACTATTAGGTAGGCTTTGATTGTACAGCTAGAAGACAGCTCACCTTCGTAGTCATACTGTAGATCTAACCAGTCTTCTGGTACGGCATGGTTAGGTTTGTCCTTCAGCTCCACGTAACACTCCAGACATTCCTTCGGGTACCCCTGTGGTCTGATGCCGTCATATCGGAATCCTTCAGTAGACTATGGAGGAAAATTTTCATCAGCACCTTAATAGACTGGTTGGGATCAAACGCGTTGAACCTGTATTCTGTTTTGACGAGATTTCGAAAAGTTCTGTCAAAATCGGAGCGGGAAGTCTAAAATCAGTAAATTGAGTTGATCTCTCTGCTTGATAGAGGCTCCTTTTTATTTATTATTTAGTGCCTTAAAGGTCTATGACTGAAAATTTACTCCAATTTGGAGACTTTTGGGGCAGGGTAGGAAGGAACACGTAGAGTCTAAGCTCTTCCAGTGTGGTCAAACTCTCCAGTTTTGTTTGTCATAAAGAGTTGAGTG